CGTGCGTGTGTTATGGTTTTAGAGGTTGAAAGGCAGAGGTTGAGAGGCAGTGGGGGCCAGTAATCAGGGGCAGTTATTGATCAGTACTGGGTGGTATGCAGAGGACTGTGGGTAAAAGGTTCTCTCCGTTGAAACAGGTTTAAGGCCACACACCTTCAGGAGAGGAGAGACCAGGAGAAGATTAATCTAAAGTTACTCTCTCCATCTCCACCATGTCATTTAAACTGCCCTCGGCCTTAAAACCTCTCACTCGCACACACACAGGCCTCATCAGCTCACACACACACACACACTACTGATCCTCGTGTACACAAACGAACACACACAAACTCACTCCCATACACATACAATCATCAAACGTGCACACCTGCCTCGTTCACATCAAACATGCAGAATAAGGCGATTTGGCCAATCTGCAGCCGGCCAACTTCCCCACTCAAACAGGTATTCTTTCTAGAGATTACACTAAAGATTTGTTTTCATTTCTCTGCAGTCTTTTTTCTTGTTCTCTCCCTCTCGTGCTCCATCTCTCTTTCTCTGAAGCCAGAAGTGTAATCCCTGGCAGATAAAACTAAGGACTTACAACAGGAAGATTACCGAGAGCTTTGTAGCCTATGTGTAGCAAGTCAACGTGGGTATTCGAGAGCTCTTCAAGTGCTTAACTCATGAACTGAGCTCACACACATACACACACACGCAGGAGAGGAGGATAATGATAGTGGTATTACAGTAACAGGCTCAAAACACTCACACACACCTGGCCCGACGGCTTGAGGACTCTCTAAGCAGTGAAATGCTAACTGCCGTGCTGTGAACTGCTACAGATCCGATGATGGGGACACGGAGGCCATTTAAGAGGTAAATGAGGTCCATCCAAAACCTTCTGGATGGGGAACAAGTTCTACGTTTGCCCAGAATTTGATCAGGGTAGGTACACTGAGCCAAAACACACACCTGGGCAAAGTTTTCTTGAGGTAAAGCCAGTACACTGGTGCTTGTGACATTCTTAGAGCAAAAACATCCTTCATAGATGCTTTGAGGAGGAAGATGAACTCTCTTCTCTCTCCTTCTCTGCCCAAATAGCCCTCACTTTATATATATTTTCATCAAATAGAGAGATTTCACAGATAAAAGCTCTAAGACTTTCTCTCTCTCGGTCCTGAGGCCTTAAGGTCTTAAAGCATCTCAGATTCTAAGGTTCTGTCCTGCATCACTCAGCGGTAGAGGGCCGGCTGAGGGAGATTATTCTGGTAGAGTTTCACAGATTATGAGGGCACTATTGGGGTCTTACTGCCCCTCTGTCAGTAGGGGTTTCATGGCCTCTCCTCGGCTCTCTGAGGGGACGGGCGGTCCATACACAGGAGCGGAACCGGGCCTCAAGCAGGGCTTAACTGTGTTCCCCCAGCCTTGGCCCAGGGTTCAGAGGGGTAACTGGACCGGGGTGAAATAGGAAGCAGGAAAAATTAGCTTAGCTGAAGCCGTCTTTTTGAAAAGACTAAGAAAAGTGGTGTCATTTACAGTAAAGGCAGAGGAAAAAGTATTGTTACATCAAGTTAGTTTACAAGAAAAAAAAATATATATATGTTTAAATAAAAAAATCACAAAAAAATAACCATAAGAGAAAAATATGAAAAGCATAATAATAAAAAAATATATATACACATTTACAGTATATATACTGTAAAAAAAATATTTTATTCTTAACATACTTATATGTAACAACTTAAAATAATTTATAAATACGAATGTATAGATCATACTTTTTATTTAAAAGAGTATGATACACATACACACACACTGTACATATAAATTATAAATGTTTTTTAGATTAAATTTATATCTGGGAATATATATAGTATATATATATATATATATATATATATATATATATATATATATATATACACACACACATACACATACATAGTTGAGGTCTATGTGTCTACCCTTTCAAAAGTGTTCATCCCCCTTTCAATATCTGCAAAATGTTACTTATTTTACCAAAATAAGAGGGATCATACAAAATGCATGTTATTGATTATTTAGTACTGACCTGAAGATGATATTTCACATAAAAGATGTTTACATTTAGTCCACAAGAGAAAATAATAGTTGAATTTATAAAAATGACCCTGTTCAAAAGTTTACATACACTTGATTCTTAATACTGTGTTCATACCTGAATGATCCACAGCTGTTTTTTTTTGTTTGTTTGTTTAGTGATAGTTGTTCATGAGTCCCTTGTTTGTCCTGAACAGTTAAACTGCCTGCTGTTCTTCAGAAAGATCCTTCTGGTCCCACAGAATTTTTGTGTATTTGAACCCTTTGCAAAAATGACTATGATTTTGAGATCCATCCTTTCACACGGAGGACAACTGAGGGACTCATATGCAACTATTACAGAAGGTTCAAACGCTAACTGACGCTTCAGAAGGAAAACCATGCATTAAGAGCCGGAGATGTGTAAATTTTTCTTATTTTGCCTAAATTCATTAGGCAAAATAATTAATTTAATAATCTAATTAATTTAGTACTGCCCATCAGAGGCTAAAGAAGATAGTTACATGTTTCCCAGAAGACAAAAGTTAAATTTACCCTGATCTTCAAATTCAAAGTCTTCACTCCAGTTTAACTGTTCAGGACAAACAAGGGACTCATACACACACACACACACACACACACACACACACACACACACACACACACACACACACACACACACACATACATACACACACACACACATATATAAACACACAAAT